CCGGGACAGCCACCGTTTTATTTCACCTCTGTGTTGCTGTACCTGCTCCTCCGTGCTGTGGAAAGAATGTGCAACACTTACTTTGTCTATGTTATACAACAGGCCCTACAGAGCTCAACACAGTCGCTGCAGTTTACAGACGGTGTTTGACTCACCTATAATACTGTAAAACTGTCAAACTCAGCTACAGAGCAAACACGAACCTTCAGCTTTCTTCCAACTTAGGTATCTCTCATCACTCAGAAATCTCCAGTTGGGAGTCTGAAAACTTTCGTCGAAGTCGGAGTCAGCACTTCTATAAATATTCTACACTTCCTGCCATAAAAGTTGGAGAACAGCTGGTTACAGCCACAAATGATGGTCCGTGTAGTCAGCCGGTCTCCTGCTGCACAAAGACACTTACTCACCTTTCAGTCGTTTCCTTCAGCACCTCAGAACCGGTTCTTGGTTAATCCTGCGGTTGTGCTCCATGGGGAAACGTCGCGGCCGCTGCGGTGCGTTGTTGCCGTTTCGTTGTTACGGGTGACACCGAGGAGCCTCAATGTCCCCGTCCACTGTGGATTACATGGTTTAACTGCAGCACTGTGTTAGAGACCGAGTCTGGATCAGATCACTGAGGTGTGAGACACAGAGGAGGAGGGGGAGGAGGAGGAGGAGGAGGAGGAGGGAGGCTGCGGTAACATGATGCCTCTTTCTGATTGGCTGAGGAAGTAACGGCGATTTTCACCTGTACTTTAATTTGAAATGATGACATTCAGACTTTCAGACTTTTCAGAGCATTTTGTGTATTTTTCACTGTTCATGAGTGAATAAATACAACAACTGTACAACCATAGCTCTGTATTTAAACAACATGTTAAGATCTATAGTCTTATGGTATTATTTGCAAAAGTTTGATGATTGGAAGGTTACAAATGTAGCATAAATATAAGTAGGCTATATCATATTCAATACTGAATGGATATGAAATTTAAATTGTGGGATGATATATAGGTAGGGTACAAATAGTTTACCTTATGTGAAGGACCACATTAAATCATTTCTGACTTCTAATTTCTAGGTTGTAACAAATGGATTTATTAAATGGCAAAAATAAAAAATACAAAGGCTTTATAGCTGTATTAACTGATTGCCACTTGGGGCCAGAAGAACAAGCCGTACACAGCTCTACCACATTATAAAGTTGTTATTGTCATTCTGGTTGGAAATACTGAACCCAAATGCAGACAAAAGGGGTTTAGGTGGGAAAAAAGTCTTTTAATAACAAAAGGAAACTTTAAAACTGGTGAAACTGCAGAGCCAACACCTACTCAGTAGACACACAGCAACTTTAGCATATATTTAAAGCAGAGCAAATCCAGTGTTCACTCCCCTATAGCTCCTTTTTCTTTTGGCCTTCACCAACTCCTGGACGGATATTAACTCTTTAGCTTCTGCATTCACCAGCAAGTTGCTAACTATGGACTACGGATGTAAATTAGCATTTCTGCAACAATCCAGCATGCTTACATTGTGTGTTTTGGGCGGATGTTCATTAAAATGTATTGTGCCTATCAAATAAACACATAAATAAATACCCAATGTAAACTTTGTTAGCCATTTGATGCTAGGCAGGTAGTGCATACAATGGGTTTTTATTAGAGCTTTTTTTGCTGAAAGCAGCTGTCTGCTGTGGCTGGAAAAGATGTCATGACAGCAGTGAGAGTGAACATAATGGGACAGAAAAGATGCTAAAATGAGCGGAGCAGAGGGAAGAAGAACATTTCACCTAATGTTGATGTAAAAATATCAATTAGTGCAGCTTCAGCAAGACCAGGTTTTGGGTTGCCATGTTGTGAAAAATGGTTGGTATTTATCCTTCGGAAACATGGCACTTGTTTTGTTTATTCAGCTCACCAGGAAGAGCCTTCAGTGATTCATGTCATGCAGCTGGTCTATGAGGTATTTGTAGTTATTTAGAGAGACACAAGTTACAACTTATAAACCCTTTGTAAATGCTTTATTTGCTTTATTAAAAAGTGATACTGAAATTTAATCACGGTTAATTTAAAATAAGAAAATATGAGGAACATGATGGTAAAGATTATTGTTGGTAATGTATAAATAAATAACAGTGTTTAGGTAACCTATGTGATCAACCTGCCTTACCTGATCCTGTTAAACACACTCAGGAAGTCATATAACCCCACCCTTCTACAAAGCCAGGAAACCATTGTGAGTTAAAGAGCGGACTTCCAAACCTGCTGTTATTTTGTTTGGTTAACATTATAGCAGTTATTTGGTTATTACGTCACATTAGGTTCAGTTAAGTAAGTAGAAGTAATATCACCTTGATATACTTATTGATTTACTTATTCAATTATATTTAGTGCTGAGTCCTATGGTGGCTCGGCCTGGCTTTGCTACTATTATATAATTATATTATAATAATACTATATTTAAGATTATTATATGGGATAAAATAAACTATATTAATAATGCACATTATATTGTATCACACTGTATATAATGGTCATCATAATATCACTAGAGTATTATCATATTATTTTATACTTTGTTATATTCTTATATTTTTGTTTTAAGATATATTACCATTACATTGACAGGATATCATATTATAATATAAAGTGTTATTATATATTTGTTATTATTGTCATATTCTTCTATTATTATATAATTTTGACAATTATATTCAGGTTACATAATTTATTATCACTATACGTTCTTCTTCACTTTCCCCATCCAAACACATACACACACACACACACACACACACACATATTAGCTGGCTCATCATACCGTACACATCATATTCTTATCATTTTTACATAATACATCTATAACTATTTTTGTTTTTGTTGTCATCTGCATGTCTGTCCGTTATGTCCTAAGTATCTGTGTTTTTATTACGTTATCTCACCAATAAAAGAAGATCAGATTCATTTGTTTTGTAAAATCAAACAGAGTCTTCAGTCATCAGTGCAGCACACAGCTCATGAAGACGTGGGACAAGGACATGTGTATGTAAATCAGTTTATTGCAAGAAGACCACTGGGAACAAGGCCAACATCTGTATCTCTCTCTGACTCTGAGCTCTGCCCAGAGGTCCTCATCAACAAAAATGAGGATTTACAAACAATTCAAAAGACATGAGCATAAAATGACATTAATTAGCTGAAATCTAACCTGTTGTAGGCCTACATTCTAAATACTGTATATATCTCAAATATAACTGCTCATCTGTGTTTATAATAGCATATCCCTTTGATATGTACAGCATAATCAAGACAGTGCCTTTTTGATCTTGGAAATGCATTAAAATTACACACAAAATAATCTGAATTATGAAAGAGGCATGCAAACCAACCAGTATTTGTCTCTATGTAGCCTACCTGAAAATATACCCAAACCACTTCCTAAAATAACAGCCATCTCTGAAGGTGTAACACGGCTCTACGGTGCTCTCTTGTGGCTGCAGGAGGAGCATTAAAGCCTACAGAGGATGCTTTTAATTAATCAACAATTCTATTGACATGAAAATCCTTCACGGTAAAAATAAAATAAAATAAAAATACATATCTTCCACATTTTGTTTGAACACATGCTGAAACAGAGTGGCAATACTGTTGACAAAGGTGGGTTTTTTTTTTTTTTGGCTCAAATACAAGCAGGAGAATGGCCACAAGTGTTGGTTTTGAAGCCTCAAATACAAGAGATGGCACAAGAGTTCAAGCACTGTGTTCAAAGGGTCATGTGCCATTAATATCCTTTTTACCTGAAAGTGAATCTTTTACATCACTAATTTAACACGCATAAGCATGTTAGAAGCATGTGATGAAGATCGCATTTTCAGTACATCCCACTGGAACACAACATCTCCATGACGACTCAGCCCCGGCCGTGCATCATCTTCAAAAACCGCTGTGTTTGCATACAACATACAAATGTGGCAATATCTTTCCAAACTATACAAAACTGATAAATTATAAAGTTCTAAGTTCTTAAATATAAACAACATCAAGTCAGTTTCCAGTACTTAGATTATATATTAGGTACAGTACATTGTACAGCTCCGTCAACAAAGAGCGGAGAGCGTTCCATTTAATACACTGTACATGACCCAAAGGGCTGAAACTGGAGGTTAGACATGATCTTTGAATAAATTAATTCATAAATAAATCATGATTATGTCTTCCCAGTAACAGTGGTATCCTTGGTTCCCCTCAAGATTGTGACACACACACTTGCACGCACACACACCCCCACACACACACCCCCCCCCACACACACACACACACACACACACAAACACACACACAGTGCACTCGAGCTGACTCTTAAGTCCATATCTACGACTCTTACTCCTATTCTAAAAATACTTTTGGCTTTAAGAAGTAACAACATTATATTCAACTCGGAGACTAAAAACTAAATCTTTAATATAGCACAAGAGGTCTACCATCTAGAGGGAACTTTAACTTCAGTAGTTACATGTTTAGAGTACCTGTAGACGCCTTGCAATGGTAGAATAATATCTCTAATCCATAAAGTGACAGTGCTGGATATCAGTTCCAGGGAGATCCCTTTCTTATGCGGGTTTCAGTACAGAACAATAAAGCCCACATCTACTTGGATATGCCTGTAGAGAGACAAATAAAACAAACAAGAATAGACTCTATGCGAATAGTGTTAAATATCTAGATTCTCTCTGTCAGTGAAAAGCTAGGGTTGACTTGTGGCTAGCACAGCATGCTATGTTAGCTGGTACTGAGCACGGGAGACACGTTGAAGCGTTTTGAGTGTGTTAACTGGCAGACCGAATCGCTAAAGTAAAACATACAATGTTGTCACTGTCATCGGATCGTTCAGCTTTGCAAGACTGATCCAGTTGTGCATAAGAGAGTCCCATATATCAGCTAATATTAGTACTTATATAATCCTCAAATATATACAGAAAAAGCCAGTTTTTTACTTAAAAATACCTTAATCGTGTGCTTATATCCAAACTTGTACAAAGAGTAACAAACAATCCAGCTAAAAATCGCTGTTAGCGCAGGATTTCTCTCTTTCCTCCAGTCAGTCAGTCAGTCAGTTACAGTAGCAGCTCCTTCACCAACAGTAGCCTAACTGTCGGTGTTAATACAGTTAAGTTCACTCCAGCCGACCTTTTGGTTCATTTGACGATTGGCAGCAATCACTGCTGCTGGGACTTTCTCTTCGCGCCACCTCTCCAGTCCCCTCAAAAACCTCCAGTGTCCTCACTCTTGTGTGTATTGCACCAAAGATAAATCATAAAGATCTCTATTTCTCTATTTGAAAAAATAAAAGGTAGGAATTGGTTCCAAGGCGCCAAGAAACTGGAAGCCAGGTGAGGTTTCCTCCTTCAGCCAGAGGGAGAAGTAGAAGAAGAGGAAGAGGAGGGAGGTCAGTGGATGTCTCGGCACATGGGGAGGTTGACGAAGATGAAGACGTTGAACTCGATGAGGACGGAGAAGCACAGAAAGATGGCGTACATGATGAGGCAGGCCAGGCCCAGCTGCCGATCCAGAGTCCACTTGTTTAAATGGACACCGAGAACCTGCAGGCGAGGAGACAGAGTTAGAGAGAGAGCGAGGCAAGAGTACAGCACAGAAATAAAGAAAGGGAGGAGGTTAGCGTTGTATCCTGTGAGATTAGCAGCGTGGCGTTTCAACAAGTTCTGCTTTATGAGAACTTCTGCAGCGGAGAGAGGTTGGATAGCTGGACGAGACTGGTGCGCCACGCTACAAGTTCATAGCTGGATTCAAGGGCACAGGTGCGGTTTCAGACTCGGTAGGGACTAAAGGATGGGGAGGTCATTGAGAGGTAATGGTATGGGTCATTCTGTAATTCATAAATACTGTATAAATTTAAAAAAAAATTGACATTTTTACAGCAAAAGTCTAAATGCAGATCACTTTAAATGACAAAATAATTTCGACTCTAGGCCAAGCCGTTTTTGAGATAATTGTGAAAACATAAAATTGGTTGTTGGTTGCTACCTTCAGGTCAGTGAGTGAGGTTCTTGGTGCCTGACTGGTAGTAGTGGGGGGAATATGCTTTGCTCTTATGGTTTTTGCTGCACAAACACTTTTAGCAGAGAAAACTAAGAAAGAAGAAAAATGAGAACAAAAACAATACGGCTCCGGCAGTTGTTGCTGCTCGGATCTCCAGAAAAACTATACACATATTAGTTGTCTCAAAGAAATGCAAAATAATCACTGCTATTTAAAGGCTTCTTCACCGTCTACGGTAGATGCCCTACAGGGACATCGCATTGCTTCTATTTACTTAACTAGCACAAAAATGCATGAAATAACTGCAGCAGAATAATAATCAACTATTCATAAGACAAAAATGAAGCAAAGACTGTGAGCTACATTCGACAGTCAATGTGACGGCAGACTCCTCTCACTATATCCAACACACCCTTTTACATAATGGCATAAAGCTACCTCTGCTGCTGCTGCTGCTGTTCATACAGCAATACATAAGCCCCGCCTCCGACCCAGCATCCACCTGTAGGCTCTGAGTCTATATAGGGGGAGTTATTATCATCAGCCCCAACTCCCTGCTTTGCTGAGCTTGATGTTTACTTGTGGCGAGTGACGAGGTGACACTAGACGCTAAATATCACTGCTGTACATGCTTGTCATTAGCACAAAGGGCGAAAACATTTTGCTGAACCAAAATTAAAAACTATATAAGCCAAAAATGATTAGCTTTCCTGGAAGTTGGTATGACATTACAAGCCCCACATAAATCCACATCTATGGTTACATTCAAAACTGCAAAGATGTGCTTTGGTCACATTCATTAACATGTAAATATATACTTACTGTGAAGAATACTGAGGCTAATAAGAGTCCAACGGAGAATATGAGACCTCTGCTGTTCAGATGGATCTGAGGAGACAGGGTGTTATTCTTTAGTATATTACAGTATTAATAAAATGCAATAATAAATATGCAAAAGATAAAATGCAGGTTTATAAAAAGGAAATAAGGAAGAGGCTCTGTCCTGCTACACCCTGAATTACATCCTGTATTTATACAGTCAGGGGGACCGACTTTAAAGGGCCAGTGTGTAGGATTTAGGGGGATCGATTGGCAGAAATGGAAAGAAATATTCATAATTGTGTAATAAATAAATGTTTTCATCCACCTGAAACTAAAAATGTTTTTTTTCTGTTAGCTTAGAATGAGCCCAATATCTATATAGGAAGTGAGTCCCCTTCCATGCCCCATGTTTCTAAAGACAAACCAAAGACTGGCTCTAGGGAGCTCTTCACATTACCTAAAGGCTACTGTAGGTTCTCTGACATGCTTGGAAGGGGAGGGGTGAGGGGAGGGGTATTCAGCTGGTTGCAATCTGCAACCTCACCCCTAGATGCCACTCAATCCTACACGATGGTCCTTTAATTCGATCTATTCTGAGGTTCTTTTCCTTGTGATCAACGTGCCACTGAACACGTGAAATTTTCCCAGAGAAAGGTGAAAAAGTAACTGTGCGGTGCCCCAACAGATAATAGGTGGACGTTTTTGTGTCCAACAGTAATCCTAAACTCCCCCATCTCCCTGCACTGCATAACACAGACTATTGTTCCCGTCCTTCATAAACGAATCTCTTTTCTATTCTGGTCTTGGTCCTGCAGCCTCTCCTCTGGCTGAGCTGAGAAGCACTCACGATGGAGCCGTAGTCAATGCAGAGCGTTTGCAGCGTCCAGGGCAGGCCCAGGCCCACCAGGATGTCAAACACATTACTGCCTATGGAGTTGGAGATGGCCATGTCTCCCAGACCTGAGGCAAGGAGAGCAACACTGTCAAGGTCTGTATACAGTCAGGAGACAAGTCAGTTATGACAAGCAATACTCTGCTGTGAACAGCCACTCCTTCTCTTAACAGCATTTCTGCTTTGTTTCACTCAACACAAATATTGATTTCACTTGTACTGGTCTGTGTTTGTGTGTGTGTGTGTGTATGTGTGTGTGTGTGTGTGTGTACCTTGCCGTGCTGCGATAACGCTAGCCATGCAGTCTGGGACGCTGGTGCCTGCTGCGAGGAAGGTGATGCCCATGATGACATCAGGTATGCCGAGAGTGAAGCCGATCACAGTCACCTGAAACCCAGTAGATTTCATCTCAGAACACTGTGAACATGACAGTGCTTTAAATCAAATTAACCACTGAACCAGGAATCATGTGGAATTAAATTTGAGAAGTATAACAATGTTTTAAGTTCCCTCAGTGCCTAAAAGCTTCAGATACTGTGCTGCAGAAACGCTGCACAAATTAGAAGTGGAATCACCAAAATGACTCGAAACACACTGTAATAAAACGGTGCATCCGCTTCACTGAACGTCCCAGCCAGTCTCTACTTTGTTATCAAGAGCGACTGCATGAACAGTTGTTACTACGTTACTGAAAGAGGAAAAAAAAAACGGGCACAGGAAGCAGCTCTGAGGCTGCTGAGGGGCTCGACCGCTGCAATTTCTGTCGCCCGGGGATAATTGAATATGACACTTTTAAAGATACCCTGTGGAGTATTCTCACAAACAAACAAACAAAAGTTATGATTACATCACATACATGTGTAAAAAAAACATTGTGTGTAACCTTGTGGTCTAACAAATAAGGTGAATGCATTTGTTTGTTTGTTTTTTGAAATATTGTAAATTGAATATTGCTGACATCCATGTATGCTAGCCAGCAGTTGGCACATTGCTAGGTTTGCTGGTTACCGCCTCTTTACATACAGTGTATGGTTAAGGCACACTCATGAAAACAATGCTTTAGTGCACGGAAACTCCACAAGGTACAGTCAACTGTGCTGTACGTCTACTCTCAGTTACGATGCAGATTTAAGTGAAAATGGGAGCCGCTGTACACCAGTGGAAAGTCTGGCACTCTGTGGAGACATAATGTTCAATTCCTTATTAACTAGAAAGCTCCGCATCCAGACCAGGATGTGTTTTTAACATGTTAGCGAGTGAGAATGACTGGACTGACCATCCAGACCATGATGTACGACAGGCCGGCAATCCAGATGGTGGCGGTGAAGAAGGACACCATGAACCACCTCTCCCAGCGGCGCTTGGCACAGTTGGGCACGGTGAGGAACAGAAGCAGGGACAGGGGCCACATGGTCAGCCACTTCACCTTGTTACACACTCCAGCTGGAAGATGACAGAGAGAGGGTAACGGATACAATGATAGCACTGAAACAAACATTTGAGTGCAGCGATTGTTTTATTTCAAAAGGTCGTTTGTGCTGTACCTGGAACTTTGAATGGCACCAGGGGGCCTCCGTTATCATCCTCTCCCTCTCTTTCCTCATCGTTCTCGTTGTTCTCATTATCCTCGTTTTCATTCTCTGTCTCGTTCCCAGACTCCAGCCGCTGAAGTCTGCACCTCCCGTTCAGACTCTGCTCAGCCCCGCCCATCCCATTCTCTAAGCCCCGCCTTCCCTGAGACCTGGCCGCTGAGTCCGAGTCGCCATTGGTGATGCGGTTGACTCGGGTCTCTGTAGTGTTGATCAGTCTTTGCCTCTGGAAGTGATAACAGGGGATTATTATAGACAACATTAAGATATCACTACAGTAGTTCCATTAACACATTTGGACATCTTGTGTTACTGTTGTGTGTGAGACCCAGTTAACTACTTCACCTTTAATACAAAGAGTCTCTTATATTTGTCTGAAGCAGAAGTTCATTTTCTTTGCTCCTCTTTCTCTTAAAATTTGGTTGTTTGGTTTAGATTTACATCCACTCTGTAGTCTGCAGCAGGCAGGTGTCTGAGTGAAAAAGCTGGCTGTAATCTCCAAAAGAAAATGAACATTCAGTTCACTGTCTGTTCTGGTAAACCCAGACAGCGTTATTTGGTTTGTATTTATGCTAAGACTCCGGCTTTGGCAGGGATTCTTCAAAGTATCTTCAGCTGACAAAACTACATTTCTGTCGAGCTCTGCTGCGATTCAGTTTTATTCAATTTGAACTTATTGCATGAAAAACTACACAAATCGAGATAATGTACAGATGTGTATGTGAGCTGATGTATAGTTCGGTGTGTACCTCGTTGATAAGCATGCGAGAGGCCATGGTGAGGCGGGTTCTGGGAGAGAAGTGACTGGTGATCATGATCCTCATGCCGGCCTCAGAGAAAGACAGTTGGTGTGGGTACGCAGACAGCAGCTCATCCACCATCAGCACTGACGGCTTACAGTGGAAGTTAGCTGGTAAATAACAGACAATGGTCATGTGACTGCGCCGCTCATTGTTTACTTTGACCCTAAACACTTTCACACAGTTTCTACTCTTCACTTTTCATAATGGATTTGAAAATTTTATCTGGTGTTTGTGAAAACCTATGCTGCTCGTGATGACATGAAGGAATTCAATTATGAAATTGCTGAAGGACTAAAAAAGAACATCTGGAACATCTGTGTATCAGAACAACAGTATTTGTCTAGATTTTTTCACATTTTTGTGCATTTCCAAAAACTCACGACCACCATTGAACACATTTTCCATTTACAGATGTTCCTTGAATGCCTCAAATGCACGCAATAGGTAGACGTTAGCTAGCTACGGCAGGCATCATCAGGGGCCGCATTTACGGGGGCTTTGGGGCAACAGCAGTGCACTGTGTTGCGTCTTTATAGGAGGTTTAAGCGGGTTTATAGTTGCCATCTGGGGCCCCTTTTCCCCTTGAGGGCCCCAAGCATTTGGCTGATTTGCCTCTCCTGACGGTGCACCTCTGCACAGGGCTAACACGTGGACAGATACACATTCACTCTCACCTTCTCACCTACAGGCAATTTACAATCTCCAGTTCAGCCTAACCTGCGTGACTCCAGACTGTTGGAGGAAAATGGAGCACCCTGACGAAACTCACAGAGACACAGGGAGAACATGCAGAGCCCACACAGAAAGGCCCCAGGCGGCCTGCGGGACCCAGCATGTTTTTATTGTTAGGTAACAGTGCAAACATCGGTGCCACCCTTCATATTGCATACTTTTCTACATGCAGAGACCTGTGTGGCGTGTATATGCTGAGCTGGATGCTGATAATATAGTGTCAACAGGACACATTCACATACGGTATTTCATATTGTATGTATTTGGCATATACTGTAAATAAATTTGTTTTTAAAAGTCAGAAAATAAACCAGCGTCAGTAACATAGTGTGGTAGGAGAAACATCTACCTACAGTAAAAATACATGTAGTATCGGGTGAGTAGTGAACTGCTCACCGAACCTGGGGAATTACACCAAGAGCAGAAGAAAGACAGAGTAATACTGAATAATGGATGGTAACTGTAGATATACGGTCTCTGAGCCAACACAAGCAGGATTTTAGTGCCTTCCCACCAACACAGAGCAACTGACTGAGACACACAATAAACATCGGTGTCTGTATATCTATAAAATGACCATCATACATCACATCTATGTTGCACTGGGATCCTGGTCCACCCTGAACTCGCTCCAGTGATGGTTCTGTTCCTTTCAGGTACAGTGCCTCATGCTGCCACTGATCTTGGAAGGACTGCTTTCAAGATTAGTGCAGCAGACTCATGGACTCTCTGTGACCCCACAACTGAATACCCTTTTACCTCCTGGACACTTTAGGAAAGCGCTTAACCATCCATAAACTGCCTGTAACTGTTTGTTTGTTGATTTGTGAAGTTATTTTCCATGTTATAAATGATGATGACCCTCAATGACTCCTCAGAGAATCTTAAATAAAAAAGAAGCAACAAGAAGCTCTATGTTCAGACCATTTACCAACAACTATGTCCGTGTACTGTAGCATATCAACAGCTGCTGTGTGCCACCTTTCGCAGTTTAATGGGTGCACACAGTGATGGGTGTTGCATCTCTAGTGTGCAATGTCAGGACAGAGCTTCAGTTTGTCCACTTTTGGATAAGATGGCCCTGTTGGTTGTTCCCAATACATCTACTATATACTCAAGACCTGTGGACATGTCAAGACCATGTGGACACATTCTTTTAGCAGCATGGGCGCAAATGTGTCCTCGGCCATATTGAAGGACCGCCTACTCCACCGACGTCCTCTGCCACAGTCTAATTATTTTAGTGTGCGCACATTGATTTGCTCAAGGTTAATGTCCTGTGAGAGAGGCATCCATGAACACAACAATCACCCCGGAGTTATTTCATCTACAAATCTAAGGAACCTTCCAGTAGTTCCAGGTCCCTGACGGCTACTGTGGGGACCGTAAGTGACGCTGCACATGCAAACACATCCAGCCCGGCGACCATCTGCTAAAACAACTGCCACCTGCCACCCTAGTTCTCTTTATTGCCTCCTCAGCGCACCCTAAGGACCCTAAGTTAGCTCGGTCACTTGCTCTCAGCGGAGCAGCAGTCAGAGTATCAGATGCAGAACAAGCTGACGGAGCAAGGCTGTGCTGAAGAAGGCAGGGACCTTAGCCAGCATCTTGCACTGCTCTCTCCTGTTAGTTGTTGTTGTTGTGCCCCATACTTTACCTTAGGCATTGGTCCCCCGATCTAAAGGATGACTTATTGATTTGTCTCAACTGAAACATGCATCTGCACCAGGCTTCTACCATAACTGTTCCACCAGGAGGACTACTGTCTCACAATACGGCTTTGAGCTGGCAGCTGCAGTGTCAGTAAGCACAAGAAAGCTCTAGCTGAAATATATCCATTTATTCAAACTTCTCTACAAACATCTGGAGTTTGTTGAGTTCAGGGGTGACACTGGCTGCAGGTGTCCGCTAAGAGTTCTGGGTAGCAGGGCAGAAGACGAAACCTTACTGCTCACCATCATTTCATCATATAGAGGAAGTTTTTCTTGACCAACAAAGGCATAAGGGAAATGTTTGCGGAGCTCCATATAAAGGAAGCACTGGGAATGCTACCAGCGCCTCACCGGATACAAAGCCCAGACGTCAGACAGCATGGTGGAGTATTTGCAGCGAGGATCTATCCAGGACAAGATGCACAGAACTTATTCAGTAAAGTCATCCTCGACTATCTTTTCATGGAGAAGAACAAAAATAGATGAGGAGTGGCGCCCCAGCTGCCTTTATGCAAATTTCAGTGTGTCGAGATGAGCAGCTAAACCCTGCAAAGTCCTGTTAGAGGGCAAAGCCTGGGAGAAATGGAGCAGTTTTCTGATACCTTTCTTGAGCAGGACTGCAGTAGCATCACATGTGACATTATCCTCCAGATCAGTGCTTCCTGTCAGCCCATTGGCCAGATTCACTGAGCTCTTCTTTCGACGGTCAAAATAGCGATGTGCCCTGCCGTTAAACCTGACAATCACAAATCAACAGAAAAAGGTTAAACGGCTTTTTACAACTGAACAACCAATCAGGTAACATCAATTAGTATAATTATTTCTGAGAATGACTCTCACTTCATTATGAGGATGTAGACTGCATACATGAGAATCAGGACAAGAGACTCCCACCTGGCACACAAACACAAAGTCAGTAAAATATGTACAATGATTCAGCACTTTAAGAATCATATTTATATTGATGGGTCTACAAAACACATTACATACCAGCACACTTTCTCATCGTAGATGAACTGAAAAGGCAAGACAAAGGGAAGATTAGATGAATGAAGTAATTGAAATTTAAATTAATTGTGCATTTCTGCATCTACTCCACTAGAGGGCATGGCCAATCCAGAGCTCAGAGAGCCAGAGGAAAGGTCAAAGTGTGACCTTTTGGTTGTTTCCTTTTCATTTAAAGACACTGTTCTTTTTTGATTCTAACATCACTTGTGATGTTTCCTCTGTAGCGTGCTGCACATAAAATATATAAAATTATAGATTACCTTGTGACACACTGTCATATATTGATGGTGTGGTTTTGCTGCTGACTTATCTGTTTTTGTGTGCATGATATTAAAGGTCCCATATTGTAGATTCCTTTTTGATTATACAGCAGGTCTAGGTTCTATATTAATACTGTGAAAGTATCAAAGCACTCAGTCCACAGAGAAATGCACACAGCCTGTATTCAGAAACTCTTAAAATGAGCTGTCAAGACTTCCTGAACTTTGTGAGATCACAACAAAGCAGTCACTGCTGTCAGCCATGCCCCCGAGCCCCGCCCACCTTGGACCCACCATCAAACCTCACAGGATTTGGTTTCTCTGAGTGTTTACCTGAAATACCTGCTATATTTTCATTCAATCACTCAGAAAACAGTCAGCCAATCAGAGGAGAGACTCAGAGCCTCCTCTCTTCTGATTGGCTAGCCAACCTGTTGTTACTAGAGCTCAAGGGAGAAGCCTGAGAGAGGAGATGTAAAACTACACTGACATGGTTTATGGTTCTTAAAACCACAAATATGTCTTCTCATGGATCAACACTTCAAATAAAACTCGGGAAAAGTGTAAAATATGGGACCTTTAAAGATTTTTACTGTTGAAGGTCGTCCAGGTGAAGCTAACTTTTACTACTTCACCTACTGCTGAGCTGTTTATCCTACTCAAAATAAGTAAAGCATGATAAATTAATAAAGATCTTTATCTGTAAAGTACCTGACTGTACCTTAACAAACAGGGTGGAGTGAGAAATGTCTGGCAGTAGAAGTATAATGCTGCATAAAATTCATACGAAACAGGTCTTAAGTGCAATACTACTGTAAAGTTATTTTCTACCACTGCTCCATTTCCACTGTACATTACATTGGGGGATAAAAGTGTCCACCAGCAAACTCGAAGCTGAAGTGTTTTTAGTAGCACACTGATATGAGTACATGATTTTGTCTCTTTTCTGGTGTGAATACAGTGCAAATTCACAACCTGATGTGAATAAGAATGTATTATAGATTTTAGACACAGCTTAAGTCTCTCATGAGACTCCCTAAACACTACAGATATATTTTATATAACTAAACACACTCTTTACCACAAGATAGATTGAAAAACTGCTAAATATAGACATTTATAGTGGATGTACAGCACTTGTATGTTTTTATCATATTATTATTCTACAATCTAGACCAATGATTCTCAAACAGTTTCACATCAAAGACCCCTAAACTGACACTAATTAGACCACAGACCCCAATTTCATAAGATTCTCTCCCAGGGTCCTCCATCTGTAGATTTTTGCTTTTAGATCTTTTACTACAGAGAGTGTTTGAAATCCATGACCAAAATAGTCATACAGTTTTTTTATATATATAGTGAAAATAAATGATTTCCTTTTTTGCTGGGGACCCTGAGGAATCTCCAAAAGTACCCCTGGGGGTCCCCAGCCCCCCTTTAAGAACCACTGATTCAGGCACTACTGCTGAGGCAAACAGTACAAATAAGGTGTGGATACGAACTGCACTTTCAAATTGGGCTTATAATGCTTATGTGCTGAGACACTGACACTGTCTCTTACTATAGTGAGACACTGACACTGCCTCTTACTATAGTAGGAGGCGGTGTCAGGTCTCTGCATATTTCTGCAACCACCACACACTTGATCATCTGTCCTGTGTACTCTCATGAGTCTATAAGCTCTTACCGCAATGAGGGCCGTGATAGAGAATGTGTAATAAATGGAATCTCGGAGTAGAGCCCAGTGAGAGAGCTTCACCGCCTGCAAGGGGAAAAAAAGAAACGAGAGATAAGCACAGTTCACGCTTCTGACATCATTACCATACTAATGTAAACAGACGAGCTCTTAAGTTAACCTCCTGAACCACAGTCAGTGAAGAAGCCGATCGCAAGGTACCATCCCACATAGAAAAAGGTGCTGGTGTGTTTATCGACTTTATGCAATCAGATACAATGCAGGAGCCCACAATGCAGTGACTAACACTGTCCCACACAGCGTTCACACTACACAAGTGGAGGGTCAGAAACCACATCTTGACCGGGCCACTCCCAGCTGTGGAGCTGTGGAGCTGTTTGCTGCGGCAAAGCAGAGGGAAAAGTTAGAGCATAACAAAGCTTGAAATGTTTGCTTGTACTCAGTTTCACTGTACAGTCGTTCTTTGTAGAAGGAACCTGCTATGAACAGCCAGCCAAAGGTAATAAACAGCAGCGAGGTGCACTGCGAGGCTTGAAGATGATTTTGCTGCACCCTATCCCCTCCAAGTGTCGTCACACCGCCTGCCCTTCTCCCTCATTATCTCACTGTGATTACCTAATGCACAATCTGGGATTGCATCACTGTTTGGAGTCCAGTGCATATATTTTTCAGAGCAGAGAGCTTATTCTTGTTCTCCGCTCATTTCCATGTCATTGGCATATCAGATAGCATCAGAGAGAGGCTGCACTATGTTATGTTATCTCTGCATCTCATGCACACAACCAAGGATGCAAAGCAGACAAGAGATACAGGCTGTTGATTGTGTTCATACTGACGTGATGTTGTACATGTGGCTGGTTAAACATATCAAACTAAAAGTATCTTTCCAAAGATTTCCTTGTTTACTAGTGGCGGAATTTTCTACAAGAAACGAATCAGACTAAACTGAAACTCAGGAAGAGATGCTAAGTGAATGTATGTTTACGTGAGACCAGCAGTTCCCAGAGTCCTTTGAGGCCAAGCTGAGGGAACTGCAAGATTTTTCCATTTCCATTTTTTTTATTTATAAGGGGAAAAAAAATGAAAAAATGAAACATTAACATCAACAACAACCTTTCAATATTCATTTAAAACACATTACCGCATGAACACTTAAATCACCCTATAAAGTCTTTGTTGAATATGAATCATGTCACAGCTAAGACTGGTGACATTATAACTCACATGCAGATTGTCATAGTAACACAGCACACTTTCTGGCTTGTGAGTTTTTCAGGTGCACAGCAGATCAGATATAGTGACATGAAGCAATGTGTTCCCGGACCACTGGGATGGCGGCAGTAAAAAAAAAAAAAAAAAAAAACTGGATAACTATCGACTTCTTGAAACTAAATGAAGATAAAACTGAAATACTTGTAGTTGGCTCCCGAGATAAAAGAGATCTACTCTCTTGTAAACTGGGGGCATCTGGTCCCTGAGGTAAAAACAGAAATAACATGCCTGGGCATTGTTTTAGACTCTGAGTTTAATTTCACTACACACTTAAAGAAGGTGACCAAAAGTACGGTGGTTTCTATCCCATAGAGATGCTGAAAAACTCATTCATGCTTTTAGTTCAAACACTTTCAGATTATTGCAACACAGTCAATTGAAAGACTTTAGTTTATTCAGAGCGGTGCTACTAGACTTTCAACTACAACAAGGAGGAGAGAGCATTTCAGTGTTTTAGCTTCACTCCACTGGCTCCCAGTATCTTCTAGAATAGATTTCAAGGTTCTTGTTTGTTTATCAAGCTCTTAATGGTTTGGGACCGGCTTACATTGCAGACTCTCTGTCTTTTTATAATCCATCTTAGTTCCTCAACTGTAAACCTTTTAAATAGACAAAATCTTACGCACAAGAAAACAGGCAACCCAGTTTTTTTTTAAACTATGCTCCTTAATTTGGCTTTTAATAAATTACTCGTTTTATTATTCTTACAAGTTTCTGGTTTTCTTTTCATTTATATATTTTATCATTTACTGTTTTTCTATTGTTTTATTTCATTGTCCTTCACAATTGTTTTTACTATTTAATCTTTATTTCTATTGAAAAGCACTTGGGTCTTGTATGAAAAGTTTGTTACTATTATTATTATTATTACTAATGGATTATTATTGTTATATTTGTCACTGTGGGCTGACCACAACTGTTGGTAATGATATAACATTGAGTAGCACCAGAAAGGACATCACCAATACTTTTCAGCGGCAATAACTTCACAGATTAAACACACCTGCAGTAGAATTACACAGCAACACTAAAGGCTGATTATACAGGATTATAAGTAACACAGTAAAACAGTAATACAGCCTACAATCAGTCACCGACAGAAAGAGGACGACCACTGCAACATCAATACTTCACATGATGTTCAATGATCCCACAGGTAGCTAGGAGAGGTCAGGAGGCTAGTCATATATTCTGTGATATCTGCAGTTTACACATGGATCACATTGCCCCTGTTGTTGTACTGTGGTGCAGTCAGACATAGGGAATCATGTGTGCATAAATCAACACTGTGTATGTGTGTCCTGCATTCTTCTGCATAAACACATGCATGTATGCATGAGCACATTCTACTGGGTGAATATGTAAAGGTGACATTAGGCAGCCGGTTGCACTCTGTGAAAATGCCACCAGGTCAGACTCAGCAGCGGACTGACTTGGCTGCAGTGGTGTACCGCTGCTATGACGTCATACCTGGCCGGCAAAGAAGCCACACACACCGATGATGCACAGGATGTTGAAGACGGCCGAGCCCACGATGGTCCCCACGCCCACGTCACCTTTGGTGATGAAAACCCCTGAGGAGAGAATGAGCAAGCACACGCACGCACACACACACACACACACACACACACACACACACACACACACACACACACACACACAAGCACAGAACAGAAACACATATTTAGAGGCATAAAAAACCTAAAATTGCATTAATTTTTCTGTACAAATGACAAAATGTTGTAACGTCTGAACAAAGTCTATATGTATAATTCAATTTCTATATAAAGGAAACAGTAATGTAGTGTGATGACTGTGAACTTGTTTATTTTGTTGGTTCAGACAGATATACAGGACCACACTGAAGACGCCCATGATCAAAGGAGAAAACAAAACTAAACAGACGGCCTTTACCCACCAGCAATGCTCTGGAGAATCTTACATAAGATAACTTCAATGTTAGAATTTAGAACAAAGGAGGTAAAGAAAGGGACGGATGGATGTGGTGAAGACTTGTACCTATGATGGATGTGAAGAGTTCAGGAGCTGAGCTGCCGGCGGCCATGAAGGTGGCACCTGCTACGTCTTCACTGAGCTGGAGACGCTGGGAGAGAACAGAAGGAGACACAAATATAAAGTAGATTTTTCCACAGGAAATCGCAGCTGCAGTTAGAAAATCCAGACTAGTCCAAATAGTAGGAGATCAATCACTGCCTGACCTTTGACCCTTGAGCTGATTGTTAAGATCCACTAAAGCTTACGCATTATATGTGTGATTGTGTAAACACACTATAAATCTGGTATTTTACCACCTAATGTTAAAACTTGAGCGTGTGTCAGGCTGGAAGAGGAAATTTGATTTATTTTTTTTCTAGTTTCCTTTTTACTGAGAACTAACAATATCCTGTTCAGTGGGATGAAGACAGAAACAAAGTTTATTATAAACATGAACAACATAGAAAGATTTAGTTATTTAAATAAACCCTAAGAGGAAACCCTTAAATTGTACAAAGTCTTGGAGATGAGGGAAAAGGGATACAAATTTGGTTTGTAGCATAAACAGTTTCTTCTGTTATGTGGTTCAATATGTATTTGACATTTTGTACATAAACATGCAGTAAATTATGTATGCATGTACAGTATGTCTGTATATATAACATTATGATGCAAATGGAAGTTTCAGGAAAAAAAAAGTGGAGTTAAGATTTGATTGTCAAAGCAGTGAAAGGGACACACTCTTCATTACCTGGGTTTTCAACTAAACCCTGAATTGAATACATTTCTTGAACATAAACATCCCAGGTCAGTGATGATATTTCATTTGAAAACACTATACCTGCTTGTTGTGTTAATTTGAAAATCAAACTGCTGAATACCTCACATATCTTCTCCAGAGAGGGGACAAAGTAGTCATCACACACCAGAGCCAGGGCACAGAACATGTAAATGGTCTGTGGAGAGAGAGAAAGAGAGTGAAAGAGAGAGAGAGAAAGACAGAGAGAGAGAGAGAGAGAGAGAGGGACTGATTGATAAACATTCCAGGGATCAGGGATGCTGCTTGATGTGATGCATGTCTTGTGATAAGGTGTCCAACGTAAGATGGGTCCCCACTGCACTGTTCACTGTCATAATGTAAAGCCAGCTGTGATTTATCAGATGATATTTCACATTTTATTATAATATTTTATTAATAATTTTACAATATTCATTTATTATTTATTTTACTTTTACTAGTACTGCTGTTTACCTCCTCACGTCTCCACCTGCTGCTTTTTATTCTACTTTGAACAGATCTCTGAATGTGCCCTGAATGTTGCCTTAAAAACACCTCCGTGCTCTTACTGCTGCATTAAATCTATATGTAAATCACCATGAAAAATGAAACAAGTCTGCTAATTGAAGGCTAAAGAGTCAGAGATCTGATCCCATGCAAATGCAGTACGGTACATTAACGGATCGAACATTAAAAATTCATGAGTAACATAAGTGTGAGACCACACTATTTACATTTTTAAATATGGAAGTTAGCTTTCACTTTTGGAACATACTGCATTAAACAGGCCCAGGAGGGAAAGATCATATTTGGCTTATTCCCCAACTGAACGGATGGAACAGAAAAGAAACATGACCTCTGACCTCAGCTTAATGCAATGTTGTATATTTGTTCAATATAATATTTATACATCAGCTCCATAAAGTCAACCCTTAAGCTTCAGTCATCTGCACCAGCCCCACTCCTCTGAAGTTACATGGATTTTCTCTCATTTCACTTTTCAGTTAAATTATTTTTGGCTCTAAACATAGTTTCCAAGTTTATATCCTTTAATAAACAAAGGGTTTGTTGATTTGTTTAGCAGCATGAAATAAATGAAAGTGCAAGTGAATAGACGACTGTGCTTATGCCTTGATGTAGGTATTTCTGTCTTTGTTTGTAATATATAATATACATATATAATAGATAATAATATTTATATTTCTGTACAAACTTCAGCTACTTTTTCAAAGTATTTAACAATTGTTTGAAATTCTTACCACAGCAAAATAAATGCTTATCATTCAATCAAAGAAAATAAATTGAATACAATTGAATTCAAACATCACTTGTGGAGAGAACAAACAATATGGGGTCTAACACTGAGCCTTGTGGAACACCACAAGTTACCTTCAGTAAAGTTCCTTTCAACAGTCTCCTGCATAATAATATCTTGGCAGGACTCATTATAACTGTAAATAATCTACTCTAGTAACTGCTTTTAATAGTGTTTATTACTGCATATCAATGAATAAACACCCACCACATGCAACCTTTCCTTGGCATCACATAGTTTATACAATACAGAGCACTGAGAGGAAAACCAGCAATGATCAAGAGATGTGAAAACAGTGACAGGAAATGTGTAAATAAAGCAAAGTGATTATTCTTACACTTTGTCATTATGAACATTTCAAAGATGTGCTTACAGCATGACTGACAAGGTGATTGAATATTTCTGAGTCACATTTTACTGTGCACCTGCAGTTCTCCTACTCCCTGTTTCTGAAAGCAGGTGGAAGTGAGCTCAACTATCCAAAACACCTGCAAGAGAGCTATGACTGAGCTATGACTGTGTGTGTGGCCATCAGTCACTGAGGTGGAGATTTGTCATTTCAGGGCAGGCAAAGGCAAAGGTCAAAGGTCACATGTAATCCCAATGACTGGGTTTAATCTGGATTCTGATTTAGGGTTGAGATGGAGGCTAGGGGAAAACAGCCTTTATCTCCATCTCAAGCCTATTGGAGCTGTGTTTTATGTGCGTGCATGCAGAAGTGGAAGTGCTATCTGGAGTCGTGTTTGTGTTTTTGAGAGCAAATCTCTCATGAGAAGTGATGATGCCTGTGTTAATGAGCAGTGCAGAGCAGGGGGTGTGGGTGTGTGTGTGTGTGTGTGTGTGTGTGTGTGTGTGTGTGTGTGTGTCTGCAGTATGGCTGTCAAGTGAACAGCAGTTGACAGTAAAATACTGTGATATTAAAATCCAGAAAATGTTTCACAAACACACATTATCAGTGAGAATCTCTGACTGACGCCGGGATCAGTTCACAGCGGCTTCACTTGTGGCTGAATCACAGGATAATACAACAGATAGACAGAATAATCTAATCCAGTATTTAAGTCAACATCCCTGAACTAAGACCATATGCTGCTACTGTGCAAATGCAGTACACTTCCCACAACATGAGCTATGTGGTGACATGACATCTGTGCCGTAATTTGTAATTTGTAATTTGTAAACTCTCTGATTAACAATACAGGGAGACAGCAGGTGGAGAGAGGGCTACCAGTGTATTTATACAGCCATAATATTCATTCAGATTTTTTTTTACTGTAAGGCTTAGCCTCTTATTTAACATGTAAAGGAAGGAAAATAATCAGGTAGGTGTACTGTCTGATTAATAGTTAAGGGGAACAGCTGCAGGTGGAGAGAGGGCTACCGGCACATTTATACAGCTGTGTACTCCAGCTGTTCAGTATGAAGCAAATGTTGGATAGAGTTGTAAGTTACTAATGTCTTTGTTATGAAGTCCTGGGTTAAGTCCCAAACAAGACAGGTTAGTCTGAATTCAAATAATTATGTTTTGAGTCATTATGAAGCCTTAAAACAGAATAAGAATGCTTCTAAAATGTACTTTGAAATACTCTTTTCCATTGTTATTCTTGGGGTTAAACATAGTGCTGAAACTACAGGTTAATGAATTGATGAATTGATTCATAGAAAATCAGTAATCAATTCAGTAATTAGCACTTCTTTTATAATGCAAAAACATTCCAAACATTTTCTCTTTGCATATTTTTGAATGTGTGTTTACTGCTTTCCTCTGTTTTACTATATAATTTATATCATTGTAAATGGAATCTCTTGATCCTTTTGATTGCTGGTTAAATCAAATAAGAAATTTGAAGATATTATCTTGGGCTCTGAGAAACTGGGCTGGAATATTTTTTTCATTTTTTCCCTTAATTTAATTGACTAAACAATTAATAAATTATTTTCTAAAAATCAACAGATTAATTTAGAAAAAATAATCCTGATCATTTACTGGCTTTTTCTGGAGCTCTGAACTGCATTTCACCCAGTCCTGTTCACAGTCAAAAGGTCTTTATTTGCTGACAGGGCTGCAGGAGATGTGGTTAAAAAGGCCCTTGAGTTAAAGTAAGTTTATTTACTGTTACCAGGCTCAAGAACGACTTCATTTAATTAAACTAATTTAAACTTTTAAACTAGTTTTGCCCATTTTGTGTGTGAATTCTCATTTTCTTAAGATGAAAAAGTACGACAGCACAACTACACAGTATACTATACTATTCTGCAAGTATGAGCCCTGATTGTCCTTCCTAAAACTAAAGGTTTTAAAGGTTAGACATCAAAGACAAATAGTTGGTGATGATACTATATTTTTTTTTGCTTTGTTAAATATCCAAAGCATCTTAGAAAAGGTTACTTTTATTTGCCCTTCTCCTGCAGGAAAAGGCTAACTCAGAGGGTGGCTGCTCTGTAAGTAGTGACATTGCCTATAATGTCAGACGTGTACTGGCAAAATGGTCCATTCGGTAATTCTTAGTGCTCTGTTTATGTGCAGCAAAGTTCCCTGGAGACGCTGCTCTGCTGGCATGAGCTTCCATTACAGTTAGCCCCTGGAGATCATCAGCAGCAACAGCACAACACAACATGGGTCATCGTGTCCTGGAACATTCTGCAAGCCTTGTGCCAGTCATATTGGAGTGACAGCAGAGGGCTCCATTGTAGCCTTAACCTTGCGTATTGACCCCTGCTGGGCCACGCTGGAGAGGCCAGTGTGGCTGGTCATGCGTGTGCTGAACCAGTGACATGCTGCTGCAGAGGAGAGGAGAGGAGAGGAGAGGAGAGGAGTGCTGCAGATCCAGATGCTTTCCTGCTCAGCCACAGAGGGTGAAATGTCTCGCACCATTTGTTTAGCCTTGCTTTGGAGAAGAGCAGTAATTATCCTATGACTTAATAAACTAGAATTACCGTCTCGCGGGTGTACGCCTCCGCCAACCAGTCAAGCTGCAGGAAACACGGACAAAATCTCCCTTTTTGTTCCCGAGTTACAATGTTGAATAATGGCCAGAAAAGTGTTTTTGCATTTTGTGTGTATGATGTCACAGTGAAATTAACCTTTGACCTTTGGGATATAAAATGTCATCACTTCATCATTTAATCCTATTAGACATTAGTGTGAGAACTTATCATGATTAGTGTATGAATGTGTTTTCTGAGGTCACAGTGACCTTGACCTTTGACCTTTGGCCACCATAATCTAATCAATTCATCAAGTAAGAGTCAAAGTGAATGTTTGTTCCCTCAAGGCGTTACAGAGATATCACGTTCAAAAGGATGACAACAAGAAAACATAATGCCATCGGTCATTTCCTAAACAAACTGTCACTGGTCTAGTTGCATTGTGGGTAATGTAGGTGCCAGGTTTTGACAAGGAAGATGAATGTGTAGAATAATAAAGATGATAAATCTGATATATCTCTGGTTCTGCTACATCATTATTAATCTTTTTTCTTTTTCTTTTTTTTTTTTTACTCTATGAGGACAATCTTGCTTTCTACACTTTTAAAGAATATTGTTGGTTTCTGTATTTTTATCACACTGTCAACAATCCCAGGATTAGACAAAAACCAACAATGGATTAGTCCATCTCTCTATACTCTCTTATATCATTTTTCCCATATATATTTACTGTAGCAGCCAAAGATTTGTTCAGGCTGAGAAATAATTTCTGATTTGTAACAACACCCATGCGTTTGCACCTCACAACCACTGGGGATGCTGTTTATGCACATAACAAGAACAACGGAACATTTTCTGTAAAGAAGCAAAAATACTGAATATTTGTCAAGAACAGTAACACTATGAGCAGACAACATTTAGATAACATGTAGAACACAATCTACTCAACAGAGCATGCTGGGAACTTATCCAACATGCTACATTATTATCATTTTGGTATCATGTCCCAGACAGATTGCACCATGCAGTAACAATACAACAATTTGAGATTAAAAAAATAAAAAAAACTACATTACACATACTCACACAACCACATACACTCACACTCAACTTGCACTAATATCAGATAGAATACAAATAAAATGAAAACATTTCCCTGTAATTGTTCACATTTTCCTTTCAGGTAAGGCCTACATTTCTACCTTTTATATTATTCATGTATGGTTCCCACAGCTGAAGAAAGTCTTTCCACTTGCCCTTAGCAACGTAAGTTAGTCTTTCCAGTTCCTTTATCCTCATTCTCTCTCTTACATCCTTACTGTGGCACTCAGCCCCAAGCCAACTGATTCCTATTGAAGGTAGTAAATCTTTTCAATTGGGTCATATAAAAAAACACTCAATATTTTCTCAAACAGCTGGGAACCGTAGTGTTTTGCAAATGTTAGTAAAACAGGAGTAAATACTGCATTTGTCGTGGATTTTTTCCAGCTGTGGATTAATACACATTTGTTGCTCTAGTGAGTATTTGTGCCAGCAGGACAGTGTGTGTGGGATTGACTAGAAATAATCTACAGTGTCTATGTTCATGTTAATGAAGGAACATGTCACCCAGGGGGGCAAAGCTGTTGCTCAGTGATGTATTTTTAATAGTTTTTGGACACTGAACACTGTAGTTCTATGGCACAGAGGAAAACTGGATACACAGATGATATTTGTTAATAGGATCAATTCATTGTTTGTTTTGTTTTTTTTATGGGATTTGTCAACAAGAAAGTACATTACGAATATTGCCAGACTAATCCTTTAAAGTCCAATGTAAAAGTGTTCTGCAAAAACAGTAAAAGGTCATTTGTGCACTTAGACACAGTCTGACATGTCGACAGACACGCACGTGAATGCAGAGTATGGTGACGGAAAACTTACACACAGAACATGTAGGGCCACGGCTCCCTCTGTTCGCTCCTTGTGTGTGAACAGGTCTGTAGGGAACTCGTGCAGAGCTGGAAGAGACAGAAACATGGGGTTAGAGCAGTTCATATACAGCATGTGAGTTTGTGTGTATGTATGTGTGTTTCAGCAGAGCGTGGCACAGGGAACATATTTCCAGTGCCCGGAAGAGAGGTCAACCCCATGAGCACGGAAACCCATTGAACTCATGTGTACTGACAAGGAGCCTTGCCCAGAGAGTACCTTGCCCAAGTATGTGACAGTCTAACTGTGCCCTTCCAAGGACTGTGTATGATTCCTCTGAGAGCGACTAGAGAATAGGGAAATGGAAAAAGTGAGCGTTAGGAGGACAAAGTGAGGGCAAAGAGGAGAGAGAGCACAGTAAAAATAGAGCGAGGGATATTTAGGGTACGTAGGATGGGAAGTAGGATGAGAGCAAAGACAAGAGAAAAGGTGGTGGGAGTTTAACCACAATTTGCAAACTCCTCTTCTCTGCATGAGAATGTGAAAACAATTGAGCAAGAGAGCACAACTGTGTGCGAGCAAAAGATGGGAGAGCAAAACTGAGGGAAAAGTGGAAAGTTGGCAGAAGGAGTGAGTGTGAAGGAAAACAGAAAGAGGTGAAAAAGAGGGGGGGGGGGCTGGCTTCAAAAGGTGGCTGGAGTCATTCTACCCCCCCCCCCCACCCTCCTCCCTGGCTTTTGACTTCCTCTCCTCTCCCATCCCCACAGTCCCTCCGTGACTGCCAAGACCGGTGACAGGCGCTTGGCTGCCAGAGAGAGTTGAGGAACCTTTGCCTCTCGTCCCTCAAGCATCAAGTCGCCCCTGTCATCGGCTCCTCCAACACAAATCAGGAGCCCACTCACAGGCCACTGCTAACATCTGTTACATATTTCAGCACCTACACTGTTCCCTGGGAAAGACAGGCCAGGCACCAGGCAGACACTTGGGCTAATGCTAATGATTGCTAACATGTGGTGCAACAAATGGCAACATCAGAATCAGAAATATTTTATCGACCAGCTCAGTAAACACGGTCCATAGTACAACAATGTAAGAATGATAAGCATACGATGCGTTCACGGTCTGTGGGAGACGAACAGAAGACATCTGACCGGAGATGTTAATGATTCAGAAGAGTAATATTATCACACACGGGCAACATGCTACTTATTCAGCATGGTTGTGTGTTAATGCTGAATATTGTGTGAAAGTGAATGTTTGGTTCTGTGTTAAGTGTGACAACAGCTTATCCAGGAGGATCTCAAGACATCTACAACAGCTGAGTAAAGGGAGAATAAATAATTAAACAAATAAATAAATAAAATGGTGAGGTTTCCAGGACATCTCTGCCTCAGTGTATTAGGGCCATTGTAGGTTAAAAAAAAAAAAGCCAGGGGAAGGGGGTAATATTCCGAGATAAAACTGAATTTTTCGAGATTACATTTGTAAATTCACAAGAAGAAAACTTGGATATCCTCTTAGATTAAAGTGGTAAATTTACAAAAGAAAAAAAATGCTTACCAGGCATAATACATGGCAAGCAGCAGCATCTGTGGCGTGATGAGGTTGATCCAAACTTGCAAAATGAAACAACGTGGTTCCTTGACGGAAAAAAACCCACACAATATTTCTCATAAATCTATGGCTTTCAAAGGATTTTTGAGTTTTTTCTTGACTTTATAAACTCAGAAAATATTCCACTTTTTTTTCTCATAAATTTACCACTTTAATCCCAAAAATTGGTTCCATATTTTTTTTTTTTTTTTTTTACCTAGAATGACCTTCATGCGGCATCAGACATCTCATGCAACATGAGATTGATATATTATAATGTAACTGTTTAGAAAAAGTGCAATCCCTGACAAATCATTCTCAACAACACACGGCAGTAGGCAACATGTCAGATTATTTTCACAGCAGGAGTTTGATGATGAAGAAGGACAAGGCAACTCTAATGAAGCATAGCGCTGCTTTGTGGTGCTTTGAACTAAATGCTAACGTCAGCATGCTAACATATTCACAATGAGAATGCTAACAGGCATATGCACTGCAGATTAAGTTTACCATGTTTACCAGTATAGCTGATTGACACAGTAGCTCAGCCAGCACAACAGCAGGCATCTTTTATCATGCACATTGCTACTACACTGATAACGTTACAGATGACAGTGGCTGTGTATCAATGAGTTGTTGTGTTTTAAATGTTAAATGTTATTTGATTGAAAATAAAGTTTGTTTCTGTTTATTTGTGTCTCTTTAGACGCCTTCAGTGGTCACTGTCAGTCATGTGACCCTTGCTTAGCAGCATTCCAGTGAGAGTCTCCCCTGTAGTTTAGCATCTTATCATATTAATAATTGTTAACTAGAACTTAACTTAACTAGGACTAGGACTACTAACCACAAATTACATTCATTTTGCACCTATTTGGCCAAAAAAAACACTGGACAATGTGAAGCTTTGACCTGATGAAAAGTCAGAGGATCATCGAAATTATTACAATTCATCCTGTGAAGTCATGAATGTCTGCACCAGATTCATAAAGAGAAACTTCAGTCTGGACTAACACAGAGGACCAACTGAACGACTGACATTGCCATCCTTAGAGCCACGCACTACTAGAATGGCTAAAAACTTCCAGTAACTTGGCAATATTGCTAGATATGTTTCGAACTTGACCTGGATTTAAAGGTGTGAATCAGAAACACTGAGATTACATTCTGTAGTATGAATCTCGGAGAGTGTAGGATGCTCTCTGCATCATTCCCAGTCACTGGAGAGGCAGGTAGGCTACACATGAGTGGGATAAAGAATGAATGAATAAACCAGCTTATGAGTTAGGAATGTTTGAGTAGTTTATCATTCCACCTACTCTTAGTCTTATTTCAGTCTCGGGTCCTTCACAACATGCAGCAGAGAGAAATGTGAGTAGAAAGAATAGTTCACTACTTTCCCACTGTTTTTCTCCCACTCGCCCCTCTTTTCGTACTCTGTTGACCTATTTGCATCCACAGTATCTTGCTGTGTTTGAGTGGCTGCAGTCCTCCTCTGCCCCGTTCCTCTGCTATAACTTCTTAAGCTTAACACAATGCAGAGCAGCCTGTAAAAAGCCACAGAGGGTACAGAGCAGCAGAGCAGACGGCCATCTCGCAACGACAGCTGGATGTGTTTAATATTTACTGTTACAAGCCAGTGTTAGCTAGCTCCAACTCAGTCCAGCCACAATGCCAGGCTAGTGTGTGAAGTGAAAGAACAAACAGCTCTCCTGATAGGAATAAGTGCCCAGTGTAGATGCAAAAAACACAAACAACACTCCTGTCTGAAGTAAAAAAAAAAAAATGCCATAAAAATCACCAGAGGTAGTGAGGAATTATGAGAGTGAAAGACAAGACAGAGAAAGAGAGGAAATGATCGGAATGATGGAGCTGACTGTCTCCTGAAGTCTTCAAAGAGCCTGTAGATAAAACCCATACTGCTAATTAGCTCCAAGAAGCATGAAGCCCAATTTCCCACGAGAGGTAAGTACATGTGCGGATGTGATGCAGAACCGCACACTCCCACAAGAAACCCACTGAACCTTTATGTAAACAAGGTGTTTAATGCACATCAACACTGAGAGGTTCCACCTCACAGCACCGAGCTCCTTCTAAGTCTGAAACACATGCTCTCCGTGTCACACCGGTTTACGGATACACTTAAAGGATCATTTCCAGGTTTATTATTTGGGCCTCGTTTATGTAGTTTCGGCCACTGCTTATGACCAAAGCAACCGGCCGTTTGCCAACACCTCCAGGTTTAGCCTAATGTTAGCAGCTCACTCCGGCCCTTTATTGGATTTGGAGAAGTTTACACTTCATCAAACCCCAGCCAAACTCCTTGGAGATGGCTTTACGCTTTACGCTCCCTAAACATTGGTTAGAAGTCACCTTAAAAGCCTTTTCTCTTGTCATGTTCACAGTGAAGCATTCAGTCTCAGAATACAACCAATAAAACAGAAATATAACCTCTGTCTATCTTGCCCAAGTCTGTCAGCTGACGGTTTTGTTAGAATTAAAAGTCCGATCTTAGATTTTTTTCTTTCCATACAGGACCACCTATCTCTACACAACAATACAAGAACAATGTGCTGTTTCTTGATTTCCTATAAATCAACTGGTAAGGAAGATGACTTTTTACCTTGGACATGTGGCTTCAGCCTCAGTCTTTACGCATGATATCATGTATGTAGCCATCCAGTGCATATCAAAGACCCCTTTCACAGGGTTCTCGCTTTAAATCTATTTCAGTGCCTTGAAACATTAAAAAGTCAGCTGGAGATGGGGATTTCAACCAAATCATGGAGCTAATATTATCGCTTCAATAGCTGGCATCGGAGATTTAGGCGGATGTATTGTATCGTAACACAATTTTGATAACGACAGTCAACCAGAACTGAAAAGCCCTACATCAACTCAGGGAGAGGTGGACGGCCAGACTGAGGTGAATGGTGCTCCACATGAGCAGGTGAGACAAAGGGCTCAGCTGTTGAGTCCTGTCAAGTGGACGCGGTGATAGAGACGAGAGGATGAGCTCGCACGGCAGCCGGCGTTCACGGTGCCCGAGCTGACACCCGCTGCGCCAGGGGGAGATACAGGCAGCAGATGCACTCGTCGTCGCAGCCCTGTCTGGTTTACGCCAATGAGGATGCACAGATGACCCTGCTTAAATCCATATGCTGCCATTTGTCAGGGGTGGACTCTGAGGAACTTTTCTGCAGTTCACGGAGGCGCAGCTCTCAGTAATTTCCACGTAGAAGGCTGGACACGCGTTCTGTAGAGATTTTCGAGTTTTCAAATTGAGTGCAAATCCCTGTAATTAGCTGAATTAAGACTGCACTGACCCTAATGAGGTCACACACACTCCAAACACTTCTCTTCTTTAATCCTTCAGTCTCGTACAGACAGCTGACTGAGCACACGTTCTCTGTCACGTCTCGCTTTGTCTTCACACATTTGCACAGTTAGAAACACGGACTCTTGGGAGCTCTCCGTTCACAGTCTACCGCTGGTCACT